AAAGTTTCTCTGGTATAACATGGGTGATGTTAGCATAGCAACCGAAGCTAAACTGACTACTTGCTAAGCCGTTTTCTACAGGCACTTTTTACCGGCGTATTTTTCATTATGATTCTACTTGTGATAGTCGGACATGACAACCTGTGCAACCTGTGTATTGATTCCATCCGATAGCTGCTATAATACCAAACGTCTGCCTGCTCTCCACAATGATCAATAACAGCGAACGGATGGTCAAAGTAAGGTACAAATAAACAGAATCACACGAAGCCTGGTTAGTGTTGCCTGACTTTATAAAGTGTGTTTTTTTTAACAAGTGTGTGGTTGCGTTCTAGTCACTTTGCTCAGCACTACTGCTGGTTACAACTTTTATTTGCCGTACTCGCCTTAACTGTTAGCTCAGGTTAATCTCGCCCCCCTCCGACGTAAGCGGTTCTTGCTTCTACACGGACAACTTTTTGGTGCTCGAAACGAACCGGATTCCGGAGCTTAGAGGCTGCTCCGCTGCGGTGTGAACAGAAAAACCCGGTGCTTTTCAAGCACCAGCACCGAACCGGCCCCGAAACACCGTTGGTGTGAATGGGGTATAATGTGTGTTTCGCTCCGCTCACCGGTCCGTCACACCGGTCCGTCACACCGGTCCGTCACAGCGGGTGGAGCTGCAGGGTTTCTGCTTCACACCACGTTGCATACCGGCCGCTATCTTACTGTCTTTTTCGGACACCTTAAAATATTGCCAGACCGGTGAAGCCATTTTGGCGAGCTTGTTGCCGCGCACAGAGAAAAGTGTCATGTATTTTACGTCATGCGATCGGCTTTCGCGATCGGCATGTTTAGAGAGCACCGATCGATCGGTAGAGAGTGAGTATCGGCAGATCTCGATCGGTGACCGATCGATCGGAGCATCCATTACACGACAAAAACAGAAACTTATTGACATAGGTCAATAAGTTTCTGTTTTTGTCGTGTATTTGTCTTTTGTCGAGATTTTTCATTTATTCTTTATATATCAAATCTCGCCTAAAATCTCGCCTAGGGCAGCAAATAGTCTAGAACCGGCCCTGGTCAAGTCAAACTCAGCTTTATTGTCAATAATTCTACATGTTGTACATCCAGAATATCGAAATATCGTTTCCCGCAGTCCTACAGTGTGACATATATACATCGAACAAAAAACAAAAAGGGCCTAGATAAACATGGTATACATTAAACAAAACAAAGGGCCTAGATAACCGGGGTGCTAGGACTCAAGAGCCTTTCTTGTGCTGGCAGACACATAGAAACAAATTGGCGGGGCGCACTTCGCACACACTAAAAAATTCCATGCGCTCCGCGCTCACATTATGCTGAGCCCACGTGCCTTAGCACCGCTGCTATGACGCCATCCGGGAAACACTGCAGTATGAATATACGAGTATATGTAGTACACATTACACAGAGGGTGATCACAGTATGAATATACGAGTATATGTAGTACACATTACACAGAGGGTGATCACAGTATGAATATACGAGTATATGTAGTACACATTACACAGAGGGCGATCACAGTATGAATATACGAGTATATGTAGTACACATTACACAGAGGGTGATCACAGTATGAATATACGAGTATATGTAGTACACATTAAACAGAGGGTGATCACAGTATGAATATACGAGTATATGTAGTACACATTAAACAGAGGGCGAATCACAGTATGAATATACGAGTATATGTAGTACAACATTACGGAAGAGGCGATCACAGTATGAATATATATTTAGTACACATTAAACAGAGGGTGATCACAGTATGAATATACGAGTATATGTAGTACACATTAAACAGAGGGTGATCACAGTATGAATATACGAGTATATGTAGTACACATTAAACAGAGGGTGATCACAGTATGAATATACGAGTATATGTAGTACACATTAAACAGAGGGCGATCACAGTATGAATATACGAGTATGTGTAGTACACATTAAACAGAGGGCGATCACAGTATGAATATACGAGTATGTGTAGTACACATTACACAGAGGGCGATCACAGTATGAATATACGAGTATATGTAGTACACATTAAACAGAGGGCGATCACAGTATGAATATACGAGTATGTGTAGTACACATTAAACAGAGGGCGATCACAGTATGAATATACGAGTATGTGTAGTACACATTACACAGAGGGCGATCACAGTATGAATATACGAGTATATGTAGTACACATTAAACAGAGGGCGATCACAGTATGAATATACGAGTATGTGTAGTACACATTAAACAGAGGGCGATCACAGTATGAATATACGAGTATATGTAGTACACATTAAACAGAGGGCGATCACAGTATGAATATACGAGTATGTGTAGTACACATTAAACAGAGGGCGATCACAGTATGAATATACGAGTATGTGTAGTACACATTAAACAGAGGGTGCGATCACAGTATGAATATACGTCTACTCAAATGAAAGGCTTAATTCATAGGATGATAGTGGAAAGCTTTTCAATGTTATGATTAAATGTCATTTCTGTCGTCAGTAAACAGTAAGAATTAATACCTTTTATTAATACTTACAGATTTATAGTATTTTTACATTAATTATTTTTGCACATTCTCATAAATAAATAAGTGAAAAAATAAAGATATTAAGTAGTAATTGTACGTCATTGGAGTCTGTGAATCATGTTTTTATATATTTATTTAGTCAATTGCACATTTCATTTTTAAATATAGTGTGAGTTTAGAGGTATGTTGTTCTGTTGCCTGCTGGCAGTGAAGAGCCTCAGAGTGGAGCTGTGTGGAGGACTAGATCCACCAACAGTGACTCATGCGTGGTAATGCACTGAGAATACACACCTTCACACACTCCTCTATCATCATCATTACACACACACACACACACACACACACACACACACACACACACACACACACACACACCACACACACACACCCAACACACACACACACACACACACACACACACACACACACACACCACAACACACACACACCACACACACACCACACAAACACAACACACACACACACACACACACACACACACACACCACACACACACACACCAACACCTGACTGATTATTACCAGTAAAACAGATCAGTAACACAGAAACAGAAAACATCCAGGGGGGGGGGGGGTCCCTGACAGATGAGTTAAATAACTAAATCTGTCACACACACTTCCTGTTGCTCTCACCTCTCAGCACACACACACACACACACACACACCACACACACACACACACACACACACACACCACACACACACACACACACACACACACACACACAGATGGCTGTTTTGAGCATGGACCCTGCAGCTTCTGGAGGTGAAATGAAGTAATAGAAACAGAAACACCTGAACCTGACCTGCAGCTGGGGGGGGGGGGGGTCCTCTTGGTCTTCCGGTGGAAATGTGATCATCCCTCAGCCTGAAGAAGATTAAAATGAAGTAAAGATATAGAGTCCTCTCCGGCTGTGGTGGAGGAATGGAGCTCGCCACCCACCCGCGGAGGGATCTTCATGCAGCAGCAGGAACACGGTCTCCATGGCAACAGGCTGAGTGGCGGGCCTGCAGCCAATCAGAGCGTTGCAAACACTTGTTTATTCCAACGCCCCCTAAGTTTGGGCCAATCAGAGAGCTGGACGGCACAAAGGGGGCGGGGCGTAGACTGTGTTGCGGTCTGTTTCGTTGGAGGGGGGGGGGGGGGGGTATTATTGTTCTAATTTCTCAATTACATAATTCACTAGATCACACCCCGCGTTCAGGAGGATCACTTTAAACAAGCCCTATCATATCTAAATATTAATTATCACTAAGAGGACAAATTCAGAAGACAAATCAGACATGTTTTATTCTGCCTTCAGAAAATAAAACCATGAGGAAGCAGAACAGAAAGTTCTCTGGATGTTTTACAGACCACATTTTTATATATATATTTAGTATATGTTTTATATCCTACAATATGCACTTCATAAGGAAAAAATATAGATTAATGCTGTTAAACATTAAAATATAATTAAAATAAAATATTTATTTTCTGTGATGCAAACTTTTGCCTTCATGTGGATAAAATATAAGTATGTCTCTACTTTAAAGAGTCCTCTCCTGCTGATGTTCAGGTGTATATCAGTATGTAGTGTCTCTACTTTAAAGAGTCCTCTCCTGCTGATGTTCAGGTGTATATCAGTATGTAGTGTCTCTACTTTAAAGAGTCCTCTCCTGATGATGTTCAGGTGTATATCAGTATGTAGTGTCTCTACTTTAAAGAGTCCTCTCCTGCTGATGTTCAGGTGTATATCAGTATGTCGTGTCTCTACTTTAAAGAGTCCTCTCCTGCTGATGTTCAGGTGTATATCAGTATGTAGTGTCTCTACTTTAAAGAGTTCTCTCCTGCTGATGTTCAGGTGTATATCACGTCAGTTGCTCAACATGGAGCTTTTCTTATTTTAGATGATCAGAAGCTTAATTTAATTTTTTTGCATTAAAACTAAAACCTACTTCAAGGTTCAAGGTTCTTTATTGTCAAACTAACACAGCTACAGAGTAAATATGTCGTTGAAAATGTTAATATATCTGAAGAAGTACTTTTATCTTATCTTATGTTATTTAAATATTGATGAAGTTAGGGTGTTTGGGTCACATGACTCATTATATTGATCCCGTGGAGCCTCTTCACTAACCAACCCATCTCTTGTCCGCGAGCCTCATCAGGAGAGCCTCGTGAAGAAGAGCAGAAGAGAAGACGTCTCACTTCTCACTTCTCTTCCTTTACAGAATCCCAAAAGACACACCGAGGAGCACAGACGCATGCTGATTGGTCGACGCGAGTAAAGCGTCTCCCGATTGGCTGTTGGCCGCTCGCATCGTGAGATCCGATTGGCCGCTCGCTCTGTGTTTTCCTCTGCTCGCGATCCCTTGGAATACATTACAGCGTGAAGCGGAAAAAATGGCAGCTGTCGAGTAGAGAGTCTTCATCCGGAAGAAAGAGTGAGTGTCCTGTTTATTGTGAAGCTTAGCGAGAAGCAGGAGAGGTTAGTGTAGAGATAAAGGACCAGGTTATGTGTTTATATCTTTAATAAAGTGTCAGAAACAGCTCGAGGAGCAGCTCAGGCTAGCTCCAGGTGTTAGCCGCTATCAGTTGTCAACATTGGGCCCGTCTATCACCTGGAGCCGTGTTTCTGTTTCACTGTAGAGAGCACAGTGTATAACATGTGTATAACATGTGTATAACATATCAGCTGTTCTTAGTGTAAACAACTAGCATCACAGCTACATGTGCTGCTAACATGTGAGAGGTGACGTCACCAGGTTAGCTAACACAGAAACCTGAATTCTAGAAATATTAATACACGAGTTATAGACAGAATCTACGGAAGGGGATGAGGGCCATGCGAGACACTGATGAGGGGAACTAAAGTTAAATACAAAACCATTTCTGAGATTTCTTTGAGACTTTTTTCTAAGAATTCTGAGATAAAAAAATAAATGCAAATACATTTCTTATTTAATTTTGGGCACATCTCAACTTTTGGCCCCTTTGACAAATAACAGTTTTTTTTACCCAAAGAAGAGCATGTTTCTTCATTAAAAGCCTCAGAGTAATAACTAATGCTAACTGTGATAAAGACTTTATTTTACTGTTATTATCCATCATAACTTGACTCTTCTTCCTGTTTATAAATACACATTCATTTCAAATGTGTATTAATTATAAAACCTGTTCAGGCTCTGTCGATATATCGGTTTAAATAAGAATGAATTGTGTGTGTGTGATGTATTTCAAATATATTGTTTCTCTCCAGAGTAAATCTACAGGGAGGCTCAGCTGGTCAGGCTGGTCGTCATCATGGGGAAAACTGCTCTGAAAGGTGAGGCTTCATTATCTCTCCATTAAAACACCTGAGAGGCGCTGCTTTCACCTTTCATTACATATATTCTGGGAGGGTAATCTATACCTGGCTGTTCAGAAATGTGAGATATTCATACGTTTTGTATTTCCATGGGTTTGTGATTTCAGATCAGAGGGAGGGTAAGAAGGAGAAAGCAGGAAGAATGCTTCCTCTGACGCCTCCTGCAAATAATAAAGGTGAATATTTTATTTTCTGTCATTATCTCTCTATCAGAGAGCCCTAAGGAGCCGAGTAGTGAGGCTGAAACGTTGGCTCTTAAGGAGATCAGCTGATCCACTTCCCTGGGTTTCATAGAGCCACATGTTTAAGGGTTAATTTCATCCATCTGTGTGTGAATCAGATTCCTTCAGCTGGGAGGAATACCTGAAGGAGACGTCAGCTACACCTGCCCCCCCCGCCTGCTTCAGACAGGTACTGCTCCATTTAGTAACTCATAATAGACTGATGATGAACTGATGATAGACTATGATAGCGGGGTGATAGACTGATGATAGACTGATGTGATAGACTGTGATAGGACTGGTGATAGATAGACTGATGATAGACTGATGATAGACTGATGATAGACTGATGATAGACTGGTGATAGACTGATGATAGACTGATGATAGACTGGTGATAGACTGATGATAGACTGGTGATAGACTGATGATAGATTGATGATAGACTGGTGATAGACTGATGATAGACTGATGATAGACTGATAGACTGATGATAGACTGGTGATAGACTGATGATAGACTGATGATAGACTGATGATAGACTGATGATAGACTGATGATAGACTGGTGATAGACTGATGATAGACTGATGATAGACTGGTGATAGACTGATGATAGACTGGTGATAGACTGATGATAGACTGATGATAGACTGATGATAGACTGGTGATAGACTGATGATAGACTGATGATAGACTGATAGACTGATGATAGACTGGTGATAGACTGATGATAGACTGATAGACTGATGATAGACTGGTGATAGACTGATGATAGACTGGTGATAGACTGGTGATAGACTGATGATAGACTGGTGATAGACTGGTGATAGACTGGTGATAGACTGATAGACTGATGATAGACTGATAGACTGATGATAGACTGATGATAGACTGGTGATAGACTGATAGACTGATGATAGACTGATGATAGACTGATGATAGACTGATGATAGACTGGTGATAGACTGGTGATAGACTGATGATAGACTGGTGATAGACTGGTGATAGACTGATAGACTGGTGATAGACTGGTGATAGACTGATAGACTGGTGATAGACTGGTGATAGACTGGTGATAGACTGATGATAGACTGATGATAGATTGATGATAGACTGATGATAGATTGGTGATAGACTGGTGATAGACTGGTGATAGACTGGTGATAGACTGGTGATAGACTGATGATAGACTGATGATAGATTGATGATAGATTGATGATAGACTGATGATAGACTGGTGATAGACTGGTGATAGACTGGTGATAGACTGATGATAGACTGGTGATAGACTGATGATAGACTGGTGATAGACTGATGACAGATTGATGATAGATTGATGATAGACTGATGATAGACTGATGATAGATTGATGATAGACTGGTGATAGACTGATGATAGACTGGTGATAGACTGATGATAGACTGATGATAGATTGATGATAGACTGATGATAGACTGGTGATAGACTGATGATAGACTGGTGATAGACTGATGATAGACTGATGATAGACTGATGATAGACTGATGATAGATTGATGATAGACTGATAGACTGATGATAGATTGATGATAGACTGATGATAGACTGATGATAGATTGGTGATAGACTGGTGATAGACTGATGATAGACTGGTGATAGACTGGTGATAGACTGGTGATAGACTGATGATAGATTGGTGATAGACTGGTGATAGACTGGTGATAGACTGATGATAGACTGGTGATAGACTGATGATAGACTGGTGATAGACTGATGATAGACTGGTGATAGACTGGTGATAGACTGGTGATAGACTGATGATAGACTGATGATAGATTGATGATAGACTGGTGATAGACTGGTGATAGATTGATGATAGACTGATAGACTGATGATAGACTGATGATAGACTGATAGATTGATGATAGACTGATGATAGACTGATGATAGACTGGTGATAGACTGATGATAGACTGATGATAGACTGATAGACTGATGATAGATGATAGACTGGTGATAGACTGATGATAGACTGGTGATAGACTGATGATAGACTGGTGATAGACTGGTGATAGACTGATAGACTGATGATAGACTGGTGATAGACTGGTGATAGACTGATAGACTGATGATAGACTGGTGATAGACTGGTGATAGACTGATAGACTGATGATAGACTGATGATAGACTGGTGATACTGATGATAGATTGGTGATAGACTGATGATAGACTGGTGATAGACTGGTGATAGACTGATGATAGACTGATGATAGATTGGTGATAGACTGATGATAGACTGATGATAGATTGGTGATAGACTGATGATAGACTGATATAGACTGATAGACTGATAGACTGATGATATGACTGATGATAGGACTGATAGACTGATAGACTGATGATAGACTGATAGACTGATGATAGACTGATGATAGACTGATAGACTGATGATAGACTGATAGACTGATAGATTGATGATAGACTGATGATAGATTGATGATAGACTGATGATAGACTGATAGATTGGTGATAGACTGATGATAGACTGATGATAGACTGATAGACTGATGATAGACTGATAGACTGATAGACTGATGATAGATTGATGATAGACTGATGATAGACTGATGATAGACTGATAGACTGATAGACTGATGATAGATTGGTGATAGACTGATGATAGACTGATAGACTGATGATAGACTGATAGACTGATAGACTGATGATAGATTGATGATAGACTGATGATAGACTGATGATAGACTGATAGACTGATAGACTGATGATAGACTGATAGATTGATGATAGACTGATGATAGACTGATGATAGACTGATAGACTGATAGACTGATGATAGATTGATGATAGACTGATGATAGACTGGTGATAGACTGATGATAGACTGGTGATAGACTGGTGATAGACTGGTGATAGACTGATGATAGACTGATGATAGATTGATGATAGACTGGTGATAGACTGGTGATAGATTGATGATAGACTGATAGACTGATGATAGACTGATGATAGACTGATAGATTGATGATAGACTGATGATAGACTGATGATAGACTGGTGATAGACTGATGATAGACTGATGATAGACTGATAGACTGATGATAGACTGATGATAGACTGGTGATAGACTGATGATAGACTGGTGATAGACTGATGATAGACTGGTGATAGACTGGTGATAGACTGATAGACTGATGATAGACTGGTGATAGACTGGTGATAGACTGATAGACTGATGATAGACTGGTGATAGACTGGTGATAGACTGATAGACTGATGATAGACTGATGATAGACTGGTGATAGACTGATGATAGATTGGTGATAGACTGATGATAGACTGGTGATAGACTGGTGATAGACTGATGATAGACTGATGATAGATTGGTGATAGACTGATGATAGACTGATGATAGATTGGTGATAGACTGATGATAGACTGATGATAGACTGATAGACTGATAGACTGATGATAGACTGATGATAGACTGATAGACTGATAGACTGATGATAGACTGATAGACTGATGATAGACTGATGATAGACTGATAGACTGATGATAGACTGATAGACTGATAGATTGATGATAGACTGATGATAGATTGATGATAGACTGATGATAGACTGATAGATTGGTGATAGACTGATGATAGACTGATGATAGACTGATAGACTGATGATAGACTGATAGACTGATAGACTGATGATAGATTGATGATAGACTGATGATAGACTGATGATAGACTGATAGACTGATAGACTGATGATAGATTGGTGATAGACTGATGATAGACTGATAGACTGATGATAGACTGATAGACTGATAGACTGATGATAGATTGATGATAGACTGATGATAGACTGATGATAGACTGATAGACTGATAGACTGATGATAGACTGATAGATTGATGATAGACTGATGATAGACTGATGATAGACTGATAGACTGATAGACTGATGATAGATTGATGATAGACTGATGATAGACTGATAGATTGGTGATAGACTGTGATCGACTGATGATAGACTGGTGATAGACTGATGATAGACTGATGATAGACTGATAGACTGATGATAGACTGATGATAGATTGATGATAGACTGATGATAGACTGATGATAGACTGATAGATTGGTGATAGACTGATGATAGACTGATTAAGACTGATAGCTGATAGATGGTAGACGATGATAGACTGATAGATTGGTGATAGACTGATGATAGACTGATAGATTGGTGATAGATTGGTGATAGACTGATAGATTGGTGATAGACTGATAGATTGGTGATAGACTGATGATAGACTGGTGATAGACTGATAGACTGATAGACTGATGATAGATTGGTGATAGACTGATGATAGACTGATGATAGATTGGTGATAGACTGATGATAGACTGATGATAGACTGATGATAGATTGGTGATAGACTGATGATAGACTGATGATAGACTGATAGACTGATGATAGATTGATGATAGACTGGTGATAGACTGATAGACTGATGATAGACTGATAGACTGATGATAGACTGATGATAGACTGATAGACTGATGATAGACTGATAGACTGATAGACTGATGATAGATTGATGATAGACTGATGATAGACTGATGATAGACTGATAGATTGGTGATAGACTGATGATAGACTGATGATAGACTGATAGACTGATAGATTGGTGATAGACTGATGATAGACTGATAGATTGGTGATAGATTGGTGATAGACTGATGATAGACTGGTGATAGACTGATAGACTGATAGACTGATGATAGATTGGTGATAGACTGATGATAGACTGATGATAGATTGGTGATAGACTGATGATAGACTGATGATAGATTGGTGATAGACTGATGATAGACTGATAGACTGATGATAGACTGGTGATAGACTGGTGATAGACTGATGATAGACTGGTGATAGACTGGTGATAGACTGATGATAGACTGATGATAGACTGATAGACTGATAGACTGATGATAGACTGATGATAGACTGGTGATAGACTGATGATAGACTGATGATAGACTGGTGATAGACTGGTGATAGACTGATGATAGACTGATGATAGACTGATGATAGACTGATAGACTGATAGACTGATGATAGATTGGTGATAGACTGATAGATTGGTGATAGACTGATAGATTGGTGATAGACTGATGATAGACTGGTGATAGACTGATAGATTGGTGATAGACTGATGATAGACTGATGATAGACTGATAGACTGATGATAGACTGATAGACTGATAGACTGATGATAGATTGATGATAGACTGATGATAGACTGATGATAGACTGATAGACTGATGATAGACTGATAGACTGATAGACTGATGATAGATTGATGATAGACTGGTGATAGACTGATGATAGACTGATAGACTGATGATAGACTGATAGACTGATAGACTGATGATAGATTGATGATAGACTGATGATAGACTGATGATAGACTGATAGACTGATAGACTGATGATAGACTGATAGATTGATGATAGACTGATGATAGACTGATGATAGACTGATAGACTGATGATAGATTGATGATAGACTGATGATAGACTGATAGATTGGTGATAGACTGATGATAGACTGATGATAGACTGGTGATAGACTGATGATAGACTGATGATAGACTGATAGACTGATAGACTGATGATAGATTGATGATAGACTGATGATAGACTGATGATAGACTGATAGATTGGTGATAGACTGATGATAGACTGATGATAGACTGATAGACTGATAGATTGGTGATAGACTGATGATAGACTGATAGATTGGTGATAGATTGGTGATAGACTGATAGATTGGTGATAGACTGATAGATTGGTGATAGACTGATGATAGACTGGTGATAGACTGATAGACTGATAGACTGATGATAGATTGGTGATAGACTGATGATAGACTGATGATAGACTGGTGATAGACTGATGATAGACTGATGATAGACTGATGATAGATTGGTGATAGACTGATGATAGACTGATGATAGACTGATAGACTGATGATAGATTGATGATAGACTGGTGATAGACTGATAGACTGATAGACTGATGATAGACTGATAGACTGATAGACTGATGATAGACTGATGATAGACTGATAGACTGATGATAGACTGATAGACTGATAGACTGATGATAGATTGATGATAGACTGATGATAGACTGATGATAGACTGATAGATTGGTGATAGACTGATGATAGACTGATAGACTGGTGATAGACTGATAGACTGATGATAGACTGATGATAGACTGATAGACTGATAGACTGATGATAGATTGATGATAGACTGATGATAGACTGATGATAGATTGGTGATAGACTGATGATAGACTGATGATAGACTGATAGATTGGTGATAGACTGATGATAGATTGATGATAGACTGATGATAGACTGATGATAGACTGATAGATTGGTGATAGACTGATGATAGACTGATGATAGACTGATAGACTGATAGATTGGTGATAGACTGATGATAGACTGATAGATTGGTGATAGATTGGTGATAGACTGATGATAGACTGGTGATAGACTGATAGACTGATAGACTGATGATAGATTGGTGATAGACTGATGATAGACTGATGATAGATTGGTGATAGACTGATGATAGACTGATGATAGATTGGTGATAGACTGATGATAGACTGATAGACTGATGATAGACTGGTGATAGACTGGTGATAGACTGATGATAGACTGGTGATAGACTGGTGATAGACTGATGATAGACTGATGATAGACTGATAGACTGATAGACTGATGATAGACTGATGATAGACTGGTGATAGACTGATGATAGACTGATGATAGACTGGTGATAGACTGATGATAGACTGATGATAGACTGGTGATAGACTGGTGATAGACTGATGATAGACTGATGATAGACTGATGATAGACTGATAGACTGATGATAGATTGGTGATAGACTGATAGATTGGTGATAGACTGATAGATTGGTGATAGACTGATGATAGACTGGTGATAGACTGATAGACTGATGATAGATTGGTGATAGACTGATAGATTGGTGATAGACTGATAGATTGGTGATAGACTGATGATAACCTGATGATAAACAGTGATATTTTCCGCTGTGTCTTCAGGCCAGGGTCCCCCCCTCTAATGACTTTAAGACGGGGATGAAACTTGAGGCTCGGGACCCCCGAAACTCAACGTCTGTCTGCATCGCCACGGTGATGGGTCTGACGGGGGTCCGGCTGCGACTCCGACTCGACGGCAGCGACAACTCCAACGACTTCTGGAGACTGGTGGACTCGTCCGACATCCAGCCAATCGGAAGCTGCGAGAAGAACGGGGACATGCTGCAGCCCCCCCTGGGTATTATTATTATTATTATATAGAGACATGCTGCAGCCCCCCCTGGGTATTATTATTATTATTATATAGAGACATGCTGCAGCCCCCCCTGGGTATTATTATTATTATTATATAGAGACATGCTGCAGCCCCCCCTGGGTATTATTATTATTATTATTATTATATAGAGACATGCTGCAGCCCCCCCTGGGTATTATTATTATTATATAGAGACATGCTGCAGCCCCCCCTGGGTATTATTATTATTATTATTATTATTATATAGAGACATGCTGCAGCCCCCCCTGTGTATTATTATTATATAGAGACATGCTGCAGCCCCCCCTGGGTATTATTATTATTATTATTATATAGAGACATGCTGCAGCCCCCCCCTGGGTATTATTATTATTATTATTATTATATAGAGACATGCTGCAGCCCCCCCTGGGTATTATTATTATTATATAGAGACATGCTGCAGCCCCCCCTGGGTATTATTATTATTATATAGAGACATGCTGCAGCCCCCCCTGGGTATTATTATTATTATTATTATTATATAGAGACATGCTGCAGCCCCCCCTGGGTATTATTATTATTATTATATAGAGACATGCTGCAGCCCCCCCTGGGTATTATTATTATTATTATTATTATATAGAGACATGCTGCAGCCCCCCCTGGGTATTATTATTATTATTATATAGAGACATGCTGCAGCCCCCCCTGGGTATTATTATTATTATATAGAGACATGCTGCAGCCCCCCTGGGTATTATTATTATTATTATATAGAGACATGCTGCAGCCCCCCCCTGGGTATTATTATTATTATTATATAGAGACATGCTGCAGCCCCCCCTGGGTATTATTATTATTATTATATAGAGACATGCTGCAGCCCCCCCTGGGTATTATTATTATTATATAGAGACATGCTGCAGCCCCCCCTGGGTATTATTATTATTATATAGAGACATGCTGCAGCCCCCCCTGGGTATTATTATTATTATATAGAGACATGCTGCAGCCCCCCCTGGGTATTATTATTATTATATAGAGACATGCTGCAGCCCCCCCCTGGGTATTATTATTATTATATAGAGACATGCTGCAGCCCCCCCTGGGTATTATTTTTATTATATTTATTATAGAGACATGCTGCAGCCCCCCTGGGTATTATTATTATTATATAGAGACATGCTGCAGCCCCCCCCTGGGTATTATTATTATTATATAGAGACATGCTGCAGCCCCCCCTGGGTATTATTATTATTATTATTATATAGAGACATGCTGCAGCCCCCCCTGGGTATTATTATTATTATATAGAGACATGCTGCAGCCCCCCCCTGGGTATTATTATTATTATATAGAGACATGCTGCAGCCCCCCCCCCTGGGTATTATTATTATTATATAGAGACATGCTGCAGCCCCCCCCTGGGTATTATTATTATTTATAGGACATGCTGCAGCCCCCCCCTGGGTATTATTATTATTATTATTATTATTATTATAGAGACATGCTGCAGCCCCCCCTGGGTATTATATTATATTTATTATATAGAGACATGCTGCAGCCCCCCCCTGGGTATTATTATTATTATTATATAGAGACATGCTGCAGCCCCCCCGGGTATTATTATTATTATATAGAGACATGCTGCAGCCCCCCCTGGGTATATTATTATTATATAGAGACATGCTGCAGCCCCCCTGGGTATTATTATATTATATAATGGGGTATTATATTATATAGAGACATGCTGCAGCCCCCCTGGGTATTATTATTATTATTATATAGAGACATGCTGCAGCCCCCCCCCCTGGGTATTATTATTATTATATAGAGACATGCTGCAGCCCCCCCCTGGGTATTATTATTATTATATAGAGACATGCTGCAGCCCCCCCTGGGTATTATTATTATTATTATATAGAGACATGCTGCAGCCCCCCTGGGTATTATTATTATTATTATTATTATTATTATTATTATATAGAGACATGCTGCAGCCCCCCCCCTGGGTATTATTATTATTATATAGAGACATGCTGCAGCCCCCCCCTGGGTATTATTATTATTATATAGAGACATGCTGCAGCCCCCCCCTGGGTATTATTATTATTATATAGAGACATGCTGCAGCCCCCCCTGGGTAACTGTTTATTATTATTATTATAAATGTAGTAATGCTCTCTCAGGGCTGTTGTTGGACACACTGAGTATTATGTAATATATTATTGTGTTAACCCTCTCAGGCTTCCGGATGAACGCGTCCTCCTGGCCCATGTTTCTGCTCCGCACTCTGAACGGAGCGGAGATGGCTCCGGCCACCGCCTTCAAAAAGGTTCCTTTAATAAACATTTAAAATATGTAGGGCTGTCAGTCGATTAAAATAGTTAATCGCGATTAATCGCAAATTAATCGCACATTTTTTATCTGTTCTAAATGTACCTTAGAGGGATATCTTTCAAGTTTTTAATACTCTTATCAACATATGAGTGGACAAATATGCTTTATATGTTTGTTTATTATCATTTGAACAATGACAAATATTCTCATGAATATTAAACACAACAACCTGAACATTACAAATATTCGCCTCAATTCAACCTGGAACCTCTCTCATACAATAATACTGTGTGTGTGTGTGTGTGTGTGTGTGTGTGTGTGTGTGTGTGTGTGTGTGTGTGTGTGTGTGTGTGTGTGTGTGTGTGTGTGTGTGTGTGTGTGTGGTGTGTGTGTGTGTGTGTGTGTGTGTGTGTGTGTGTGTGTGTGTGTGTGTGTGTGTGTGTGTGTGTGTGTGTGTGTGTGTGTGTGTGTGTGTGTGTGTGTGTGTGTGGTGTGTGTGTGTGTGTGTGTGTGTGTGTGTGTGTGTGTGTGTGTGTGTGTGTGTGTGGAGACACTGTGATGGATCGTTGAGCTATGTGCAGCTCAAGGCATATATGCTTGAATGGGAGCTGCCTGGACGCTGCAATCATGTTGCGCGTACTATCCGTGCTGAGTGAGCTGACTTTTCGTACAATGTCCCACTGTCTGGCTACCTGCATAAAGTCAAGTGCTCGGCGCAGTTGTCGGCGAAATGTCATTGAAACAGCTCCTTATATCCGTTAGCGCAGCTAGCTAGCACCAGATGCTAACAACAACAACACGTAAGGTGTGCCTCGCTCGCGCGAGTCGCGCCACACATACACACACACACACCCTCCCGGTCCTCCCGATGGCCAGTCCGGGCCTGCCGGTGAGCGTGGAAGTGTGGTCTGCCACAAGCGGGCGGCAGGAGCGAGGCTGTCAGCATCAGCTTGTCGATGGTATTCACTCGATGCGCTCTGAAACTACGGGGCGGCCAAGGACAAAAAATACACATGCGTTAATCGCGTTAAAATAATTAGCGGCGTTAATTTTTTTTTGCGTTAACGCGTTATTAACGCGTTAACTTGACAGCCCTAAAAATATGATGAGATATGATATGAGAAGCGCTGTTCCAATGAGGGTCTCCCTGTGTCCAGGAGCCCCCGCGGCCCCCCCAGAACCTGTTCAGACCTGGCATGAAGCTGGAGGCCGTGGACAAGAAGAACCCCTACCTAATCTGCCCGGCAACCGTGGGCGAGGTGAAGGGAGACGAGGTGTTCGTGATGTTCGATGGCTGGAGAGGAGCCTTCGACTACTGGTGCCTCTACGAGTCCAGAGACATGTTCCCAGTGGGCTGGTGTTCCCTCACTACACACAGCCTGCAGGCACCAGGGAACAGTGGTGAGGACACACACACACACACACACACACACACACACACACACACACACACACACCCTCAGTAATATATAAATACCTTATCGGTGCAATAGAGCAGTTAGTGTGTGTTGTGTGTGTGTGTGTGTGTTGTGTGTGTGTGTGTGTGTGTGTGTGTGTGTGTGTGTGTGTTGTGTGTGTGTTGTGTGTGTGTGTGTGTGTGTGTGTGTGTGTGTGTGTGTGTGTGTGTGTGTGTGTGTGTGTTGTGTGTGTGTGTGTGTGTGTGTGTGTGTGTGTGTGTGTGTGTGTGTGTGTGTGTGTGTGTGTTATTCCTCTGAAACACGTGAGGCTGGTTCTGTTCAGAGTTATAATATATATATATATTATATTAGGTATATTAGGTATATTATATTAGGTATATTATATTAGGTATATTAAATTAGATATATTATATTAGGTATATTAAATTAGATATATTATATTAGTTATATTATGGTACATCTATCTGTTGCAGGACTGACCTCAGTTCAGTTCTTCAGGTTTCTAACCTCTCCCTTTGTGGTTCTGGTCCCACAGTCTCCCTCCAGAAGCCCCCCCCCCCCCCCCCCTGCCTCCCCCCCATGTAAGCCCAGCAGGAGGTCCCTGCAGCCCCCCCACCGGCTGACCCCCCCCCATGCCCCCCCTGCCCGTCAGGAAGGGAGTCCGAGGCCGCCGGCCCAAGAGCGAGACCCTGGCCCTGCTGAGGGGTCTGGCTGAGGCCAAAGCCCTGAACACAGCTGGAGACCAGGACCTGATTCCAGACCTGATCCCAGACCTGGAGACCAGACTGCCCAAGAAGAGGGGCCCCAAACCAGGGAGCAAGGTGAGACCTGAGATCTGGTCCTAGACCTGAGACCTGATCAGAGACTCAGAGAACTGATCAGAGACCTGAGCCCTGATCCTAGACCTGAGACCTGATCAGAGACCTGAGACCTGATCCTAGACCTATGACCTGAGACCTGATCCTAGACCTAAGACCTGAGACCTGATCCTAGACCTGACCCTAGACCTGAGACCTGATCCTAGACCTGAGACCTGAGACCTGATCCTAGACCTGACCCTAGACCTGAGACCTGATCCTAGACCTGAGACCTGACCCTAGACCTGATCCGAGACTCTGGAGACTCACCTAGGTTGCAGTGGAATAGTCCAAAAATCATCTCCTCTCGTCTCCCCCTCTCCTCTGTGTGAAACGTCACGGGTTGAGAGACGACTCGCTGACACACGACTGGTGTTAGGGTTCACCCTCGCACGAGTCTTACGGCCGCATCATTGGTGTTTACTCACGTCACTCAAACCAGACGCACTGAAGGAGGCGGGGCTTATCTCCATGTAGAAAACAACAACAACATAAACATATTTTGTTGTGACTTCATTGTAATAGTGTGTGCTGATGAGTGTGTGTGCTGATGAGTGTGTGTGCTGATGAGTGTGTGCTGATGAGTGTGTGTGCTGATGAGTGTGTGTGCTGATGAGTGTGTGTGCTGATGAGTGTGTGCTGATGAGTGTGTGCTGATGAGTGTGTGTGCTGATGAGTGTGTGTGCTGATGAGTATGTGCTGATGAGTGTGTGTGCTGATGAGTGTGTGTGTGCTGATGAGTGTGTGTGCTGATGAGTGTGTGTGCTGATGAGTGTGTGTGCTGATGAGTGTGTGTGCTGATAGTGTGTGCTGATGAGTGTGTGTGCTGATGAGTGTGTGTGCTGATGAGTATGTGCTGATGAGTGTGTGTGCTGATGAGAGTGTGTGCTGATGAGAGTGTGTGCTGATGAGAGTGTGTGCTGATGAGTGTGTGCTGATGAGTGTGTGTGCTGATGAGTGTGTGTGCTGATGAGTGTGTGCTGATGAGTGTGTGTGCTGATGAGTATGTGCTGATGAGTGTGTGTACTGATGAGTGTGTGTGCTGATGAGTGTGTGCTGATGAGTGTGTGTGCTGATGAGTGTGTGTGCTGATGAGTGTGTGCTGATGAGTGTGTGTGCTGATGAGTGTGTGTGCTGATGAGTGTGTGTTTTCCAGAGGAAGTCCAAGATGCTGCAGAGCCCCCCCCAGCTGCAGAGCAGTCAGGTCCCTCAGGACGGCCCCCCCAGCCTCACCTCTGTGGTCTCGACAGGTAAACTAACCCTCCTCTGGTTATCCAATCACAGCTCTGCTCTCATTATCTCAGAACCAGGTAGATTGACACGTACGAGGAATTTGACTTGGTGTCGTGGTGCATACATCAAAGTAAAAACAAAACTATTTTAAGGAAACTATAATAACATTAAAATATATAGTATCTCATGTGTGTGTGTGTTGCAGTGTGTGTGTACGTGAATAAGAGTGGGGACTGCGGCCCCCACCTGGACAGGAAGCAGATGCAGCGTCTGCCGGATCACTTCGGCCCGGGGCCGGTGAACTCTGTGCTGCAGGAGGTGGTGCAGGCCTGCATCAGCTGCACCCCCCAGCCCAGAGTCCTGCTGAGCAGCCTGCAGAGCCAGGCCGGGGGGGGGGGGCGCTGTCAGAGGTACACACACACACACACACACAAACACACACACACACACACACACACACACACACACACACACACACTGATATCACCTGTAAACACTAACCCTTCAGAGCCAGGCCGGGGGGGGGGTGCGTCGTCAGAGGTACACACACACACACACACACACACACACTGATATCACCTGTTAATAAGATTTAAATGAACCCTGTCCTGTCTGTCTCAGTGAGGACGGACGGGGGGGTCCGGGTGGTCCGCCTGCCCTCGGCCTCTAGTGCTTCCTTCGTGCTTCGGTTCCTGGAAAACATGTGTCGACATCTTCAGTGTGACAGTCTGTTCAGCAGCCAGCCCTTCAGCCTGTACCACAGGAAGTCAGGTAACCACTGCACTATCATCAACACACACACACACACACACACACACACACACACACACACACACACACACACACACACACACACGAGTGGGGGGTCCTGATCAGCCTCAGCACAGAGTATCCTGTGTTTCTATGGAGTCAGTAGTGTTGTGTTGTGTCTCAGTGAAGCAGGAGGCTCTGGAGGCTCCCTCTCTGGCTCGGGGGGGGAAGAGGAGTCTATCTGGGGTCTCCCCCCCGTACGCTGCCCCCCTCTCCCCCAAACTGCTCCGGCCTGAAGCCCACCCCTCAGAAGGTACCACCCTATAAACAGAGAGACTATTAGAGACTATTACAGACTATTACAGACTATTACAAACTGTAAGAGACTATTAGAGACTATTAGAGACTATTACAGACTATTACAGACTATTACAAACTGTAAGAGACTATTAGAGACTATTACAGACTATTACAGACTATTAGAGACTATTACAGACTATTACAGACTATTAGAGACTATTACAAACTGTAAGAGACTATTAGAGACTATTACAGACTATTACAGACTATTACAGACTATTAGAGACTATTACAGACTATTACAGACTATTAGAGACTATTACAAACTGTAAGAGACTATTAGAGACTATTACAGACTATTACAGACTATTACAGACTATTACAAACTGTAAGAGACTATTAGAGACTATTAGAGACTATTAGAGACTATTAGAGACTATTAGAGACTATTACAGACTATTACAGACTATTACAAACTATTACAGACTATTACAAACTGTAAGAGACTATTAGAGACTATTAGAGACTATTACAGACTATTACAGACTATTACAGACTATTACAAACTGTAAGAGACTATTAGAGACTATTACAGACTATTACAGACTATTACAGACTATTAGAGACTATTAGAGACTATTACAGACTATTAGAGACTATTACAAACTGTAAGAGACTATTAGAGACTATTACAGACTATTACAGACTATTACAAACTGTAAGAGACTATTAGAGACTATTAGAGACTATTAGAGACTATTAGAGACTATTACAGACTATTACAGACTATTACAAACTATTACAGACTATTACAAACTGTAAGAGACTATTAGAGACTATTATAGACTATTAGAGACTATTACAGACTATTACAGACTATTACAGACTATTAGAGACTATTAGAGACTATTATAGACTATTATAGACTATTACAGACTATTATAGACTATTAGAGACTATTATAGACTATTACAGACTATTACAGACTATTAGAGACTATTACAGACTATTACAGACTATTAGAGACTATTATAGACTATTACAGACTATTACAGACTATTACAGACTATTAGAGACTATTAGAGACTATTACAAACTATTACAGACTATTACAGACTATTACAAACTATTATAGACTATTACAGACTATTACAGACTATTACAGACTATTAGAGACTATTACAAACTATTATAGACTATTACAGACTATTACAAACTATTATAGACTATTACAGACTATTACAAACTATTATAGACTATTACAGACTATTACAGACTATTACAGACTATTACAAACTATTATAGACTATTACAGACTATTACAGACTATTAGAGACTATTACAAACTATTATAGACTATTACAGACTATTACAAACTATTATAGACTATTACAGACTATTACAGACTATTAGAGACTATTAGAGACTATTACAAACTATTACAGACTATTACAGACTATTATAGACTATTACAGACTATTACAGACTATTAGAGACTATTAGAGACTATTATAGACTATGACAGACTATTACAGACTATTAGAGACTATTAGAGACTATTACAGACTATTACAGACTATTAGAGACTATTAGAGACTATTATAGACTATTAGAGACTATTAGAGACTATTACAAACTATTACAGACTATTAGAGACTATTAGAGACTATTATAGACTATTAGAGACTATGACAAACTATTACAAACTATTACAGACTATTAGAGACTATTAGAGACTATTATAGACTATTACAGACTATTAAAGACTATTAAAGACTATTACAAACTATTACAAACTATTACAGACTATTACAGACTATTACAGATTATTACAGACTATTAGAGACTATTAGAGACTATTAGAGACTATTATAGACTATTACAGACTTACAGACTATTACAGACTATTACAGACTATTAGAGACTATTACAAACTATTACAGACTATTAGAGACTATTAGAGACTATTATAGACTATTATAGACTATTACAGACTATTACAGACTATTACAGACTATTACAGACTATTTTATAGACTATTACAGACTATTACAGACTATTACAGACTATTACAGACTATTAGAGACTATTACAGACTATTACAGACTATTATAGACTATTAGAGACTATTACAGACTATTACAGACTATTAGAGACTATTATAGACTATTATAGACTATTACAGACTATTATAGACTATTACAGACTATTATAGACTATTACAGACTATTACAGACTATTACAGACTATTATAGACTATTATAGACTATTATAGACTATTATAGACTATTACAGACTATTATAGACTATTATAGACTATTACAGACTATTACAGACTATTACAGACTATTACAGACTATTATAGACTATTACAGACTATTACAGACTATTATAGACTATTACAGACTATTACAGACTATTAGAGACTATTACAGACTATTACAGACTATTACAGACTATTACAGACTATTATAGACTATTACAGACTATTACAGACTATTACAGACTATTAGAGACTATTAGAGACTATTATAGACTATTACAGACTATTACAGACTATTAGAGACTATTAGAGACTATTACAGACTATTACAGACTATTACAGACTATTATAGACTATTACAGACTATTAGAGACTATTACAGACTATTATAGACTATTACAGACTATTATAGACTATTATAGACTATTATAGACTATTACAGACTATTACAGACTATTACAGACTATTACAGACTATTATAGACTATTACAGACTATTATAGACTATTATAGACTATTATAGACTATTACAGACTATTACAGACTATTAGAGACTATTACAAACTATTACAGACTATTAGAGACTATTAGAGACTATTAGAGACTATTACAGACTATTACAAACTATTACAGACTATTACAGACTATTACAGACTATTATAGACTATTAGAGACTATTACAGACTATTACAAACTATTACAGACTATTACAGACTATTACAGACTATTAGAGACTATTAGAGACTATTATAGACTATTAGAGACTATTATAGACTATTACAAACTATTACAGACTATTACAGACTATTACAGACTATTATAGACTATTATAGACTATTACAAACTATTACAAACTATTACAGACTATTACAGACTATTACAGACTATTACAGACTATTACAGACTATTAGAGACTATTACAGACTATTACAAACTATTACAGACTATTACAGACTATTACAGACTATTACAGACTATTAGAGACTATTAGAGACTATTACAGACTATTACAAACTATTACAGACTATTACAGACTATTATAGACTATTACAGACTATTAGAGACTATTACAGACTATTAGAGACTATTACAAACTATTAGAGACTATTAGAGACTATTATAGACTATTAGAGACTATTACAGACTATTACAGACTATTATAGACTATTATAGACTATTAGAGACTATTAGAGACTATTACAGACTATTACAAACTATTACAGACTATTATAGACTATTACAGACTATTACAGACTATTACAGACTATTAGAGACTATTAGAGACTATTAGAGACTATTACAAACTATTACAGACTATTACAAACTATTACAGACTATTACAGACTATTACAGACTATTATTATAGACTATTAGAGACTATTACAGACTATTACAAACTATTACAGACTATTACAGACTATTACAGACTATTAGAGACTATTACAGACTATTACAGACTATTACAGACTATTACAGACTATTAGAGACTATTACAGACTATTACAGACTATTACAGACTATTATAGACTATTAGAGACTATTACAGACTATTAGAGACTATTACAGACTATTACAGACTATTACAGACTATTATAGACTATTACAGACTATTAGAGACTATTAGAGACTATTACAGACTATTACAGACTATTATAGACTATTATAGACTATTACAGACTATTAGAGACTATTACAGACTATTACAGACTATTACAGACTATTACAAACTATTACAGACTATTACAGACTATTAGAGACTATTACAAACTATTATAGACTATTACAGACTATTACAAACTATTATAGACTATTACAGACTATTACAGACTATTAGAGACTATTAGAGACTATTACAAACTATTACAGACTATTACAGACTATTATAGACTATTACAGACTATTACAGACTATTAGAGACTATTAGAGACTATTATAGACTATTATAGACTATTATAGACTATTATAGACTATTACAGACTATTAGAGACTATTAGAGACTATTATAGACTATTAGAGACTATTACAGACTATTACAAACTATTACAGACTATTACAGACTATTACAGACTATTAGAGACTATTAGAGACTATTAGAGACTATTATAGACTATTACAGACTATTACAGACTATTAGAGACTATTAGAGACTATTACAGACTATTACAGACTATTAGAGACTATTAGAGACTATTATAGACTATTAGAGACTATTAGAGACTATTACAAACTATTACAGACTATTAGAGACTATTATAGACTATTAGAGACTATGACAAACTATTACAAACTATTACAGACTATTAGAGACTATTAGAGACTATTATAGACTATTACAGACTATTAAAGACTATTAAAGACTATTACAAACTATTACAAACTATTACAGACTATTACAGATTATTACAGACTATTAGAGACTATTAGAGACTATTAGAGACTATTATAGACTATTACAGACTTACAGACTATTACAGACTATTACAGACTATTAGAGACTATTACAAACTATTACAGACTATTAGAGACTATTAGAGACTATTATAGACTATTATAGACTATTACAGACTATTACAGACTATTACAGACTATTTTATAGACTATTACAGACTATTACAGACTATTACAGACTATTACAGACTATTAGAGACTATTACAGACTATTACAGACTATTACAGACTATTACAGACTATTACAGACTATTAGAGACTATTAGAGACTATTATAGACTATTATAGACTATTACAGACTAT